GGTTTGCCGACCGGTGCCATGAGGAGCATGCTGCTGCCCTGGCACAGTGACTCCCCCGGTTCCCTTGAGTAGGGCCCAGGCATCTTTTGCCCGGCCTTGGCTCCCGACCCACCCCCTCCCCCCGCAGGTAAGAGCAGCGTCAGCGTCAGCAAGCAGCGGTCAGCGGCAGCCCCACCACCCCCACCTCCACCTCACACACTCACTGGCCCCTTGCGCGATGGCACGCCGGCATGTTGGCATGGGAACGCCAAGCCCGGCACGGTAGCGGCGGCTGACTGAGTAATGGCACAGCCGACCGCCGCGGCAGGCCACTTTGCACTCCTGCCTGCAATGCATGCACCCTTACATGTGCAGCCTTCTGGTATTTTCATGTGCCTGGGAGATGTGCGGGCATGGGGGCCCATGTGCCCCATGCCATTTGAGTGCCCGGCGGCGGCGCTGCCTGCCGCCGGGAGCCCGCACCAGCATCGGCACCCGTCGGCCTGGCAGGCCTAAGCTGCTAAGGATCCCCACGTCCCCCACCACGTTGTGGGGGTTGCGTGTCCGGCAGGACGGGGAGCGGGGCCAGGGTGGGGTGACCCTGGGACGCTCAGCTGGGGGGAGGGTGGTCGGAGCCATGGAGAGGGTGCTCCATGGTCCACCCCCTCTCTTGATGCCCCTTGATCACGTGTGCCCCCTGCCCAAGGTCTGCTCACGCGGCCTATCATAGCGGGGTGACTGTAACACAGGGTAACCAAAACCTCCCTCTCCCCGCCCAACACCTTACCCACCCTCTCCGCCACCGTGAGCAAGCTGGGCAACGGCAGGGTTGAATCTCCGTGTGCATGCTGCTGCAGTAGCGCTCAACAGCCATGGCAATGGTTCCACGGTGGTGGGCTCTGCTGGCCAGCATGCTGCTGGCCCATGGGCTCCAAGTTGCACCGCAAGTGTTGCCACTGCCTTCTCCTTGCGCTGCAGGCCCTCACCGCCCCCCCCCCTCAGCCTGTGCCACTTCTGGTTCCGCCCCTCAGACACCGTGCCAGGAAGCAATGCCAGCATCGGCGCTGTGCGAGGCACTGCAGTGCCAAGCATAGGCCCAAGCACTTGCGACACCGCCCTCACCGTCAGCGAACCCTATGGCATTCCGTACAGGTGGGTAAACAGCTTTCAGTCGGCCTCAGAGGCTTTGGTTTGCTTGCAGGAGGCTCTCCGGGCAGCCGTGGCACAGCCGCACCGCAGTGTTGCTCGCCACCGGGGCCCCATGCCCCACCCCTCGGTGTGCTCTGCCTCCCAGGCACCTGTGCGCCCCATCACTCACACCCTGCCTCATGCTCTTGCGCTCTGGCCTTGCAGCAACAAGTACTCCATGAATTGCTCCGACAGCCCCGCCGGACCCGGACAGGAGTAATGGCACAGCCGACCGCCGCGGCAGGCCACTTTGCACTCCTGCCTGCAATGCATGCACCCTTACATGTGCAGCCTTCTGGTATTTTCATGTGCCTGGGAGATGTGCGGGCATGGGGGCCCATGTGCCCCATGCCATTTGAGTGCCCGGCGGCGGCGCTGCCTGCCGCCGGGAGCCCGCACCAGCATCGGCACCCGTCGGCCTGGCAGGCCTAA